CCCTAAACCCTAAACCCTATTGGCAGTAACTGCAGAAAGTAACTTAGCCGGACCAAGCTCGGGCCTGGTTTCTCTTACCGGAAATGGCTAGGTTACAGGCTCCTTAGCCTTATTACTAGTTATGTTAGGGGTTCGGGTTTGGGGTTTAAGGGGTTTAGGGTTTTAGGGTTTAGGGTTTAGGGTTATTACTACTAGTTATGTTTGTGTACCTGTTGGTCTAAACCCTAAGCCCTAAACCCTAAATGAACTGTGGTCAGGCAGCAGGCAGCAGATGAGGAGCACCCGCATTCAAGACGAACACGAGCTGGGACTTCATCTTTTTAGGGTTTAGGGTCTGGGAGTTCATCCGGGAGTCTACGCACAGTCCATGGAACGAGGCTCGCAATAGTCTCAGCCGGGAGGATGGTTCTTCTTCTTTGCATGAAGATGAGTCTGAGGGACTGCTTTTGCCGCAGCAACCCTCTGATATGCCGGAAACCCTAAACCCCATACCCTAAACCCTAAACCCCTAAACCCTAAACCCTAAACCCTAAACCCGAAACCCTAAACCCTACACCCCTATACCCTAAACCACGGTGATGGACCTTCTGGTGACTTGTACGTCATCCTTCCTCAGCTCGTGTGCAACGACAGCAGGTCTTGCAGGATCGTTTTTTGGATGCATAGTTAGGGGTTTAGGGTTTAGGGTTTAGGGTTTAGGGCATAGTCTCAGTAGCCGGAGAAGAGGACTAGACTAGACCAGGCAGGCTACTGATTTATCAGCCCTAAGTCTTGGCGCTCGACGCGTCAGTCAAACCGTCATTTACGTTTAGCTGAGCACTACTAAAGACCCCCCCATAATCTCAGACCTCCTAAGCTGTGGGTCTCAGCCAGTTTATGAGTTTGGCTGACAGACAGGTACAGCTGGCTAGAAATCTGTTGTCCATCTTGCAACTGTTCTTGTATCGGGGCCTCCATAGTTAAACTCGGGTTTGGGGGTTTCTCATACTACAACAGCAGTCAGGAATCCGAAAACAGTACCACGTAATTTTTTAGGGCCTCTATTGAATTCTTTCTCTTGCAAGTGCCTCTTGGGGCCTGTTGCAGTGGTTATGACTGAGTCGTGGTTTCGATTGCTGCTTGAATGACTACTACATGGACCTCAAAGAACCTACCTTGTTAGAGTTCCTTATTATGAACTCTTGATTGAACTCTTTGTTTATGTCCCTAAAAAGGTGGGATATTTGGGGTTAAGGTAAGCCTTAAGCCCTAAGCCCTAAGCCCTAAACCCTAAACCCTAAACCCCTAAACCCCTAAACCCCTAAACCCCTAAACCCTAAACCCTAAACCCTAATTCCGGTACTTACTGTATCATTTAGTGCTCCAGGCGACTTCATTGATTCATGCCTCGTCACTGCACTTGTGCCCAAAAGGGTCGCCGACAGAGAAACCCGAATGGACAAGACCGTCACCACCATGGTTTTTGGGCCCAAATTCCAGAATAGGAGTAATATAGGAGCCGTACTAATTACCAATACTGTTGTTCCTCATTGCAATTACAGTATAATATCACCCAAAACTCTATTCTAATTATTATGGCCCCTAAACCCTAAACCCTGCTCTAATTATTATGCCCCCTGCATTATGTATGGAATTTCTTGAGAAGCAGGCTTTACACCTCCAGTGCCGCAGATGCAGCACAGCCGCGCACCCAGAAGTGCAGCAACGCAGGGTCTCGGGCTCGGCTTAGGGGTTTTAGGGTTTAGGGTTTAGGGGTTTAGAGGTTAGGGTTAAGGGTTAAGGGTTTAGGGTTTAAGGTTTAGGGTTCAGGGTTCAGGGCCCTTAAGAATTACAATAGGGTTTTGGGGCTCCTTTATAGTATAACTATAAATGGAACCCCCGAAGTAGTATTGGTAATTATTTAGGTTCTTATATTAGGGTTTAGTGAATTGGGTTTAGGGCCTTCATCTTTTGTTTATTCATAGGGCTCGCTGTTGGCATTGCACTGCTCGCTGCAATAACCACGGCAGTTAATCTAATGTAACATAACTCACTTCACATACCCTGCTCTTATCATTACGGCCTCTACTGAGTGTAGGAACCTGATTTGGAAATCCATGATTCATAATCTCTCTATATCTACATGCATGCATGCATGTATACGTACATACATACCTACCCTGTAACGTAAGCCCCAAAAAACCTTGGTATAAATCCCATAACATGATCGGTAAACCCTGCTGAACCCCGTAACACAATCCTGGAACCCATAAATAGTATCGAGCTTACCGGTTTCAGTTTGTAACTGTATGGTTTAGATCTTGATTACGAGAATGTTTTGGGGGGGATTAAAGCCTCGGAATTATACCTTATTCTACTTGTAGGGGTTCAGGGTAGATGGAACTGAAGGGTCCTTGCTCCAACTTCATGGCCACATCCTTCATACAACTTAATTCAACCCTAAACCCGGTTTTGGAGTTCCTCCCAACGCACACAGGTGGACGTTTGCGCTGAATGCTGCCGCGAACTGAGATGAATCCATGTACCCAGAATCAGAAGTGTTCCTCTAAGGAAGGGTACCATAAGGGCTTAGGGTATAAGGGTCAATATACCCACATAGTATCGCGTGCTTTAGCCCCAAATTCAAAGCACCTATATCAGGACTACTTTAAGGCCACAGCAAGTACTATTTGAGAACATACACTCTTAGGGTCTAGGGTTTAGGGGTGGATCTTTGAAGGTCTTGGGATGAAACCTCGGGGCCTATGCTGGCATCCTTGAAGCGCACAGCCTACATCATCGGATTCCACACTACCGAAGTTACCTAAACTCTAATCCCGCACTCGGTTTAGGATTTACGGTTTAGGGTCCCTGAATTCGGCGCAGAGACCCAGCACAAGAGTCCTTCCGTCTTCAGTAGACACGCTTTCAGGGTTAGAGTTGATGGTTCAAGGCGGAGGGTGTAGGTTCTAATTAGGACATTTTCAGGTGGGTAGTTACCGTTATAGGGGCCTTATAGAAGGTTTATATACCTTATAGAAGCCTTATAGAAGCCCTATATACCCTAAACTCCCCGCCTGTAGTTTCCTTTAATAGGTTTCTGAATCTTAAGACCTTAAGCCCTATAAGCCCTACTTAAGATCCTTCGGGGTAATGTAGAAGCCTGAACTGTTACCAATACTATTCCTTTGGGTTCCTTGTTATTCTAGAAAGGAGCCCCAAAGCATATTCTAATGATTATTAAGGCCCCTACATTATTAT